CATACATATGTTTCACATATCGTACCTAAACGAAAAGAACAACTGATTTCCAAAATGCGTTAAAATAGCACACCCATGACATGGTAATTGTATGTTGCCCATATGTACATATGTATATACATATTTCCACTGCACTTTCCTCTTTTTACCTACATATGTATGTACACATGTACGTCGTTGCAGCTGCGCTTTGTACAAATGTACTTGCACTTCACTTTATTTTGTTTAACTGCATACATATCTACACACTTATGCAGTTGCAACTATCTCCACACATATGTATGTACATATACAATGTAGGTACCCAGCCAGTATCTGGTCGATGCAACTAGAACAACTGATGCAAATGCAGCGGATGCAAATATTGTACATGACCGAAAATTACTGTTTTTAAAAACGCATCAATTCTTGAGTGAACAACCGCGAAATGATAACACTGTGAGACAAATGGTAGGGGTCAGTGATCGGGAAGGGTTCAAACTACCGGGGAAAGTTATATCGGTAAAAAAAAGTTATACGTGTCCCGGCGTTTCGCTGGGTCACGTCTAGGAATCGAGATATATCGATTTGAAGTTAGTAACTATCATATAGGGGAAATTGTCACCTTTGGTGGTCTTTTTTTTGACATAACTCGAGAACCACTAGTCCGATTTTGCTCAAACAAATTTAAAAAAATTAAAAATTACAATTCCTTTAATCTTGCTCGCTCTAACGCATATAGTTCTAATAAGATTGCGAATTCTTATTAGCTACGCTGCTCTTACTTATGGAAATTGTTTTCGACAACTTTTGAGTGTGTGGGTGAGATGACAAAAAAGTTGGGTATGTGTTGGTAAATCGTTTGATTTTCAGGTTAAAATGGTGAGCCGTGGCTGGCAGGGAATAATCTAAATGTCTTATTTTTCTCAAATAAAGTGCTAAAAATGTTATCTAAATCTAAATGATGTGTTGAAATCGATGTGTCCATTGAAGCATATAATTTTTCGAATACGGAATAAAGCGAAAAAGAATGATCATATCCTTTGTATTCGAAAAAAAATTATGAAAAATCATAAAATTTATCAACTTGTTACCAACTTTGCTTAGTTGCTGTTAATTGTTCATGTTTTACCAAAACTTTCAGATTTTGCGTTCGCGTACGCAAAAAACTTGCAGGGGAAATTGAGAGAGCAAAGTGACATTTCATTTTGAGGGGAGCTGCTGGTTTCTGCTGGAAAAATTTTTGCCATCAGCAATTTGCCAACAGGAAAACAGCTGATCAAAAACAGCTGGTTTGAATTTACGCAAATCATAAAGTGGAATTTGATGGTTTGGAAGTTAAAAATTACAAAGTGTGACTAATTAAACTTGTAAGAAGAAAGTAGTTATTTGTTTAATCAATAAACTGTGTCAGGATACCACTTTGTGATGAGTTTTCGTACGTATTAAATTTTACACTTTTGAATGTAAACAAAAATTATATCAGCTGTTCGTCTAACTTGTAAGTTTCTGCAAATTTTCTGTTCGCGTACTATTTTGGATATTTTTCTCTTGTGAGAGAACAGATGACATTTCGCCTGAATTTGGCAGTTGGATGTTTTTTTACTGGAGATTTTAAACGAACGCACCTTTTATTAAGATTTCTACCGGGTGTGGGGCGCACACATGTGTTTTTTAAGAAGATTTACTTCTATCACGTGTACGGTGTTGCACTCGTGCTACTAAACTAAAGTTTTTTTCTCGAGTACTTTTGATCAGTGGCAATTTATACATATCGTCGTTTAAAGTAAAAAACCGCGTATCAACAAAATGCAAAACCGCGTATCAACAAAATGCAAAACCGCGTATCAAGATAATGCAAAACCGCATATGTTAGGTTGCATAAATGATTTTCTAGAGAGTAAAAACATTCATATTTCAAAATGGTTCTCTTTTTTAAAAAGCAATCGCATTTCTGGCTAGTATATTTCAGGACGAATGGATAAGGATTAAGCCAAGAGTTTGTGTGAGCAAATCCAATTTTTGGCAGCTAATGTCAGTTACGTGGTTTTACAGAATGACGATACGCGATTTTGTACTTTAAACGACGATATGTATGTAAGTAGTAGCGGCACATTGGGTGAACTAAATGCATTCATACATACATATTTATGTACAAATGTAGGTAATATTGTATGCGTCTTCCCAGGTAGGTTAAGTGCGGGTGATAATCCCATGTAGCATAGTTAAATATTATGTTCATACCCACAATTAAAATAGGGGAAATGTTACAATTTCGGCATGTGACTGAAACAAACTCTAAAGCATGATAAAAACATAACAAGGTAAAACCATTGAGAGGCAGTCTGACGTTTGCCAACAATATAATTTTAAAATCAAATCTCAAACTCACACACACATTCTCATTTTCAATCTCAAACAACAACAATTGTGAACATTTTAATTTTTTTATTTTCAATTTTATATGATTTTAAAATGTTGGCAAACGTCAGAACAAAATCATGGCCGAATTGAGAGAATGAATTTACCTTGTAATGTTTTTATCATGCTCTAAAGTACACACAAATTGTGGTTTCCAAGCCATGTACGAAGTGATTAGCACAGCTGCATCCTTCAACTTGCCAACTCGCGGGAAATTCCCCGATTTGCAGGGAATTCGGTTTAAGTAGCAATCGCGGAATGGGCACTTTTTTCGAGGAACTGGGTTATATCTTAAAGTAACCAAATTAGACGAATATGTTAATTTTTAACCATTTGACCCTTTTTGGAGCGACATTTTTTCAATTTCAATCGCAATATCTCCACAACAAGAGTTTTCCCAGATATACGCTATATATCAAATGAAAGCTAAGCTCTTGGGCTAGACTTGAGGAAACCTAGAATAAAAGCAGTTTCGGAGAAAATGCCCGAAATCTATATTTTCAGCCGCCCGATTTTTAGTTTTTCAGGCGATAACGTTATGACATATTTATATTTCATAAACACAAAAGACAGCGTTAGATAGCCTGTTTTAAGACCCTTCTACTGATATTTACACCAATAACATGGACTGAGTAGTGCGGCCTCAGTGGTAGTTTAAAAAATTGCCTTTTTTCGAATTTCAGGCAGCAGCCACGCCCACAAAGGCATACCTGGAAAAAAAACCTTCCTAGTTTTTTTGGTACTTTAATTCTTGAAAGTTTGAAAAAAATTAAATGAAGGTTCGTACAGACGCCACATACATACCAAAGCATCTCGTAGTGGAGACACGAACCAAAACACATTTACCTCTATATCTTTCCAACTAGTAGCCGGATCTTAATATATTAAGTATCGTTTGAAAGGTATTGGCCTATAGAATAACACTAAGGCTGCATTTCTTTATTCATTCTGAAGGTTTGGAATAAACTTTTTTGTTTATTTATTCTTTAGAACGTTCCTGATGATATCTTGACGTATATTTCAAACGCATTCTGTCTATTCCGGCTGTGAAATGGGATTATCCGGAATGTATAAAGAAACGCAGCATAAATATCTTGAGTGTACCCACATGCCTCCTTAAACCGAAAAAACACGTTTTTTGTTTCGCATCACTTTAGCCTAATTTTTAAGAATCCGGTTAATCGTTTATGAAGCTTCAATACATTTTCTGGACACACTCTGCAAGACCTTTCCAACGATATCTCAAACATGTCGATTAGACGTCTGGGTAAAAACTTCCACATCTCGTGTATATATAAGCGAGTCATTTCAGCATCCCAGCAAGAACGACCTAACGCATTCTCCAATACACTTACAAAATTGTGAATAAAAACCAACACGTTTGCCTTTTAGCGATATCCATATGCCATTCTTTGCGTTATATAACACGTTGTTCATCTCATTATAATATTTGATTGAAAAGAGACAACTAAATATAGGATAATATAATAGCGAATTCCATGGAAAAGAAAGAGAAAACTGCTCACACGCGAGACGATTATGCGTTAGATTTCTCCAGGAGACCAATGTGATGGAAAGTTTTTGAATGTCTCACACAAACTTTTTGTAGTACTAGGCAATATAACGCATTATTTAACAGATAGGGTCCTTACTGGGATGCTACTGTGGCTGCTTTCGTCACTCGGGCGCACTGCCGTGCGCTGTGATTAAGCATTGGCTTACATAGTCCCAATTGGCGATTCGTGCTGATCGAACTCAGGAAGGATAAAAAGGACACGCAGCTACTGAACGACTGAGGCAGGGAACGTGATCTACATCGTCAAATGAGTAGTGTCATAAGTATGCAATTACATCGCGCCATTGACTAAACCGAGCTCTCGTGTGTTACGATTGGCCCCATGGATGCGGTTTGCCAATATTATATTGCGTCAAAGTCTCATTCGGGGACACCAGGATTGTGTCTCTAGATCAATACCTAAATACCTTCGTTGACTCATTTACCAGAACCATTGCGCGCTTTACTTTACAGCGACTTGACAGAATCAATAGGTATCCGCGAATGTCAATAAATACAACTATTCGGCATCTAAGGGAATTTCGTCCCTTTATCCTACAGTGAATTTCTGCAGGCCAACGATTCTCACCCATTTTGTCTTGTTGTCACCAGCGAATGCAGAACAAACATTTCTTGAAATTTAAAAGATAAAAATTTCACTACTAAAAATTTAAAAATGTTCCTAAAACTTGCAAAGAAGTTTGGAAAAGAAATATTACTGTTTTTGTTTTTAGGAATAGGGTGGGAGTATCATTGATAAAATTAGAGTGAGAGACAGTTTTTCTTACAAAACCTTTCATTATTGAATCATGCGAATATACTACCAAAAGCATTTTAATTTGCCTTGGAAAAAAATTCAACAAAGCACTTGGTGGAACAAAAAAATTGTGAGGAATCATTTGCCTGTTTGTCAAAAATTAAATTGAAACAATTTAATAATTGATCTCAGGAAAGTATACCTACTTATATATTTTTCTTCAAACAAAAAATTTCATATACTCTTGTATCGAAAAGAAAGTAAGCAAAATATAAATAAACGTTTTGAATGGAATCCAAACGAAGCAATTATCAAACTCTGCACAAGCCGCAATCATCAAAGATACAAGTCTTGGTAAGTTCGCAAGGTAATGTGAACAAATCTCCGAGGTTTTAATTTTTTCCTTTGCAAGAAAACGGCTAGCGAAGTGAGCCTTACACCAAGTCAGGCTGCAGAACAAGCCAAGATAAATGTAAGTTAAGTTGCAATCACTTCTACATTTTAGAATTAATAATCAATAATCGAAAACTTAGGAGCGAAAAAATCCACTAGATGCACTAAGTCGTTTATCACTAAGGCATCAGGGTTTAGAAAAACGTTCGGTAAATTCTTTAAGCACATTTTAAAATAGAAATTAAAATACCTACTAACCAATTTTCATGGACGAAAAAGGGTCTACAAGACGTTGATGATGAATACTTAAAAAAGAATGTCTTCTCTCGTTCAATTTTAAATAAGCATTCGGTAACTGCATCAATGTTTACCGTTTATACTTACATATATTTTCATACATACATATGGCATTAATTTATTATCTATTTTAATCTTCATGTACAGGGACTGAACGACTCTTATGAACAGCATGGTCGTGCAATTTCGTTGGTAAATTTGGTATGTTCTGTACATACAACCATATCAAGTATAAAAAGTTCTTATCTCTGATATAACAGGCGCAGGGCAATGCTTCCCACATACAGATGCAAAAACATCACGCAAAACAGCAGTCAACGCCGCATTTAACCCAGGTTCAGCCAACTTCTCAGTCGACCCAACCATATCAGGCGCCAACGGAATTTGTATCGCATCAACAAGTACCTATCCATCAGCCACAATCGTCATCTGCCGTTCAGTGTAAAAATCAGTCGTACGAAGAATCACATGTAAATTATTCTTCCTATTTCTTTTTGAATATTTATAAATAAATTATGTACCTGTTTGTTCCATTTAAATCCGCACCTTTTATCGTCACTTGAGCGATTCTGCAGTTAACACAGCCGTTGTCTCCACCTAAATCCCATCAGCATTCCCAGCAGCAGTCCATGCCAGCGTCTATAGCACCTGTTGTCGAACCCGAATTGTGCACTACCTGTCCGAACTGTCAAACGACGATTTATCTGGTTCGTGGGCATGAGACAAGCGGGGAACTAGCACAAGGACATAACTCAATCCATCGTGATACCACAGGCAGCACATCTGCTAATTAGCACGCTTTTCCAAGAATATTTAAAATATTTTCGTACATATGTATATGGCATACTAAATTTTTTGTATTGTAAATTACTCGATGTTTAATACTGTACTGAAATTAAATAATAACAAGCATTATATTGACCCCTATTTTGATGTGTGTACATCTTCGGTTTCGGGAGGGGTAAAATTTGCGAAGCTGTAACGCATAGCCCAGCAGAAAATTTCGAAGGGCTTAGCATGTGTAAGAAAATTTTTAATTTCATTAGAAGCACCCTGTGTTTAGTTGCTATTGCAAATGGTTGCATACATTTAGGCATATGCAGAGTAAGAGGAAATGCGGTTCATATGATTATTACTTCCGATTATGCAAACACCGCGCATCAGAGCTGTAAAACTGTGAAATCATATGAAATTAAAAATCATCAATTTTATGTTATTATGTTTTCATTGAATTTTTCCTTGTTGGGGAATGTGGCTTATAATTTTCCAATTCTACATTCACTCAAAGTAGATACGATTGCACACATTAACATATTCAAAGAAAGATTGAAAAAACTGAATGACGAAACATTAACTTTTAACACTGAATAAGCATTCAGATGAATGCAGCTTTTGCTATGTGTGCACACATTCATTCAGTACCAATCAATCGATATAAATATTCTAAATACACAAAACCCACTGAAAAATACGCAAGGTTGAATTTTATTGAACAGATTTCAAAATTGCAACACGAAAAAATAGTTTATTGAGCGTTATCATTAATTTGTTTCACTTAAATTTGTACAAATATTTATAATAAATGAAAATATTAATTAGAGAAATATTGTTCTGCCAAGAATGTCATTATGAAAAATGTCAATTATTAACGATTTTTACATCTCTGTTTCGAAAATTGTCAGCTTTCTAAATAAGTATTACCAATGTACCAATAAAAGGTATGTGCAGAAATTATTACATATGTACATACCTATATATCTACGTTAAAATAAGTAAACAAATTTAAGCGCTTCTACTTCTAACTTTAGATATATACATTTTATTATTTATTTAAAAAATTCTTAATACAAGTTTCTTCGTACTTTTTTCTTCGCTATTGGGTCAAGCATTTAATAAAGATTCTAAAACCTGATTTGTGGGTTTGTGGTGCTTTCTACCATTTACAATAAGTTGCAAATTATCAACTTTTCTCAAAAAAAGATTTAACAAATCTGTGTGCAAACCCCTTTTTATTTTAGTGTGGTAGAATCGAAAAAAATGTGGTAGATTTGAATAAGATGTGGTAGATTTTCCAATTCATATTTTATTGGGTATACATATCGCACACCGTCGTCAAAAGAAGCACAACTCAAAAATTAAATCGGGAAATATAATTGCTAGTGGATCGTACAGATTCCACGCAATTGGTGCAAAAACAAGTATAACATTAGTTTTCTAGTTAGAGAATATAATCATGAAGAAAAGAATATTTTATTTGTATGCAAAAAAATCGACCAAATTATTTTCCCATTGCATAATACTTTAGCAAATATAAATAGGCGTATTTTTGAAATATTAGAAAGTTAAGGCACAGATATATTTAAAGCAAAATTTATGATGTACCTTTTTAAAAATCTATTGATTAATTTTTATATTTCGAATTACAATTGAGTTGAAATTCTAGAGTTATGTGAAAATTGTAAACAAATGTTCTGTCTAAAAATGTGGTAGAATTTAAGCCTTGTGTGGTAGATGTGGTAGACACCCAAATTTAAAAAAAAATTACGTGGTTGATCTACCACACATGTGGTAGAAGCTTGCTAACTGTTCTAAACGTATGTTTTGAGCAAATTGATGTTTAAAGCTAGCAATATATCCCATGTCCATTTTCCAAAACTATAATAATAAACATGGCAGTTTTTTAGCAATTTGGTTCCTGTAATTAAGGAAATATTGTAGTTTTGGCATTTTTCGAAATTACCATTTTATGAGAGGGACCAGGTTTAGATAAAAAAACCCTCGTACAGAATTTGGTTGAGATATCTCAACTTTTGCTAGAGTTTTCGTGTACGCAAATAAACGGACATGGACTAATCATCTTCTCTTTTTTTCTGAGCATTTTTATGTATATATACATACATAAGTAGTACATACGAACATAAATGTATGTATCCATATCGATTAATTTTGGTTGTTCCAAATATACGTTATTTGAAAAAAAGTTATGGTACCCTCTTGCAGAACTGCGTTGTAAATATGTTTATGAAACATTTAAATTAATAGTTAATTAAAAAAGTTGCTCAAAGTAATGGAACTCCTCAACCCCTTAAAAAAAAACAGGAACACTTCTGAAATTTTGTTTTGAAAGTTTTCATATTTGAAAACTGAAAACAATCACAGTATACAGCAAACCAGCCATTGACAATATGCTTATTTGAAAACTAATACATGAAATGTTGTGAATATATAGGATTTTTTTGTCATTAACCCATAGGCAACAACTGGTGCAAAAGTACCTACAAATGTTTGTTGATATATTTGAAATGTAAATTTGAACAGCAAAATTCGTAAAACAAATTATAATAAAACAAAAATATTGTTAATTACTACGTGGGAGGTGGGCGTGGTTATTGGCAGATTTCGACAAAATTTAACACTAACCTAAATTATACCAAAGGCAACTTCGACACCGACTTTCGTTAAAATAACTAAATTTTGTTCGAGTTAGCGTGTTTACAAACAGAGAGGGCTGAACTAGTTCATCTCGTCATTCTGAATATATGTGTATATACGTACATACATTTTATACGGTTAACAAACGCGCTCGCTTATCTGCATAAACCGTCTTTACTTGCATTAATTCATGCATTATCCTCTTTCAAATGTGAATAATCGGCTGAACAAATACACACAAATTACGTGCATTTGAAAATTGGAGAGTTGTACCATAAGCTAAGTAATACTTCTTTTACCGCCTAATCGATGGGACCATTTTACAAAGTCAGCCCACCATTATTCACTCAAAGTTGTGTTCAGAACACGGTTTGACTTATGTAGGAACTGCATCCGGTCATAATTGCTGACGCTTCACGCTTCATTTGCTTGGAATTTCGTGTTTCTCGTTATTTTATTTTATGTGACTTGAAAATATTTAAATTGGATTTCATTTGGGTTAACGAAAACGACAACTGTGAAAAAATATCAACCAATACATTCAAACAAAATGTCAAATAAGCATGTTTACATTTTTTGTTTTGGCTACCTGGATCACTGTATACTGTGAAAAAAATATTTAGTACAAAAATAATTGTGATAAATCAATTTTGTATATTCTTCTGCGAAAAAATGTCTACAATCGATGATGTATATGTATACATATCAAGATGTGTCTGTTTTGCTCTACGGTTGCGATAAGTTGCTTTGGAATAAATAATATTGCACGAGTCATTGGCTTTGGGTTAGTGGCAGAAAACTTCAATACATAAGTACATATACTTTGAAATAAAATATTTGTTTTTGTTTCAATTCCAGATATGTTCAAACTTTAAAGTATAAAATATATCAACCCTGGGAACAAATTATTGGTACTGAATGGTAAAAAAAAGTGTGCATTCATTCTAAATATACAATCATGTGTGAGTGCGAATGCTGCTGAACATTCACATTCTATACTGAATGGCAATCTAGCATTCAATAACAAAACACAGTTTGTTTGTTTTCAAATATTTTAAGCCACTCAGGAATGAAGTTTTTATTTATACAAACCAACAATCAACATTTTGAAAGGAATGCCGAGTGAATGCAGACTATGTTGATTCAATCATTTTACAGCTCTGCCGCGCATGCATACGGCTACCCAAGGCATATTAAACAAAGTAGAAGTGATTTTGACATTTCTCTCTTTTGAACACCGACTATAATGTCAAATGATGAATAACTTTTAACCCTTTTCAAGTTGGCATTTTCTAATTTTCATTAAAAATTCAATTGTGCTTTGAGATAGTCTTGAATTGTGTGCAATTCGACCGTGGGTCGAAAATCCCCTTTTTTAGAGTTTTGATTGGTAATGGCGAAAATATGGTACATAATGCTCTAAAAACAATCTGTGTGAAAGATGACCATTTTTGGTCAATATCTTAGGCTCGCCCAAGTCCACCAAAGTTTCGAGTGCAAAAAAAAATGTTTCTTACCTTACTTCGATTCTCTGCAAAAAAGGTTCATATACCAAATTATGTAGGACTAAAACTTTCGAAGACACTTGGAATTTTAGTGAAAAAATTTATTAATTGATGTATTTATTAACTTTTATTTTTTGAGCACATTGAACTTTGATGGGCTTGGGCGAGCCTAAGATATTGACCAACAATTGTCATCCTTCACACAGATTGTTTTTAGAACACAATGAACCATATTTTTGCTATTACCAATCAAAATTCTAAAAAAGCGGATTTTCGGCCCACGCTAATACATATACAAAAACGAAAAGGAGCAGGAACTAAGAGCGTTGCATTGTATGAAAAGTGGTGCGATACTTTAAGGCGCCTAGTTGCGAAGTTAGAAGAGTTGGTTGCCTGAAGCCACGGAATTTCAGAACTGAGTAAGAAAATTTTCTTACAATATTATGCACACATAACCGCGCCAGGACCTAGATTTACTCTGATATACATACGTATGTAGATGAAAACATTAAATCGTTTTTTATAAGTGGGGATGTTTTTTAGAAGTAAATATTTAACTAAACGAGCAAAAACATTGGGCGACTAGAAATGAAAAAATGTTTAAAACAGTTTCATAAAACATTTATTTCATTTAATGACGTGGTTTCCTTTATTCTTTCTTGTATATGTATATGTGCATATAAGATGCGAATGCAGCTAAAATTCTTTGAAGGAAATATTGAAATAATCCTTAAAATTAGTATACGTACATACATATGTATGTATTTATGTTGATGCATTTCCATGGTGAAATTATAAGCAGGTGAAGTAATAAAAAAGCTTTCTCTCTTTATTTTCCTGACATGCGGCTATCATATACAAATTTTTAAAGACAAATTTTCAAATAAGATCTTTCATCTCGCTCTTGTTACTACACCTGGTATAATTTCACCCTGATGAGGTTCAATTGATGCTAATTTGTAATGCACTTTTATTGCCTTTT